AGTCTACATCACACGCATGTTTGAATTGGGGCTATGATCATAGGCTGGTTCACTTCTTTTGAAGCAGTGGACCACGGAAATTATTGACTTACAAAAGAAGTACGTGATATTTTTCATGAATATAAGAGTATAATAGGTATACGTATGTCTGTTGCATTCTCTTCAACTCAGATAATGTACTTGTATATGACTATACGTGAAGTATTTTTTAAGGCAAAATTATTTGTGCAGTGATAGAAATAGTTTGTCTGTCACATACAGAGAGAGAGAATGGATACAATGTTGGATTTTGATAATTTTTTTTTTAATTAGTGAGTCTCATTTTTTGTCTCTAAAGCATATATTATTTTTCTACCGCTACTGTTGCAAAAAATAATACTCATTTTGTAAATTTATAAAAATATTTTATATGTTATTTGTCTGGTAAAGAAAAATTGATCTTATGAGCAAAAATGAAAATTTGAATATAATTTTATCCTTTGATTAATAAATTGTCGCTCTTGTTATCCGTGCTATCATTATATACAAAAAAGACATTAAGGGTTATTAACCAAAAAAAAACAGAAACAAATTATTCAAAAATTGTTTTAGAGTGGTAACGATTCCTTTCATGACGACGAGAAAATGGGATTGTTTAAAGGCCAACAAAAATGAATACACTGGAATTGAAATTGAGCTCAAACCCTTTGCAAAAGTGGGTCAATTCAATGGTCCAGTAAGCTGAAACTTAAAATTAAAAACGAAGGTTCATCGATATCTGAAGGCAAGCGAAGAGGGACCAGGCCCATAATGACTAGACAAGCATGGCTTCAAAGAGGGTCTTGGATTTAGATGAAGTTCCAAGTATTATGGGTCGGAAAAACGACTTCTTTAGCAAACAAGTTGGGACATTTTTATTGGCATCTCTGAATTCTGATTAATCGTTTGCTACGTTAATACAATTAATAATTTATTTACCATCAGTTACGGATCTAAAAAATGTTAGTGCCTGCAAAATTATATAACCTTAATTAGCGATTGACTTGGTCGGAAGTGTCGGCCTTAGGATCAATAGTTTAATATTATTCATGATTCATGTATCATTTTCAAATGCTGCGAGTAGCATTTTTAGAGTTTTTATTTAAAACAAAAAAAAAAAGTCAGACCGATCTTAACAAGTTAATGGACTGTTAGAATTTGACCGATTTGTCCAAAAGTTAAGAACTTGACGGACTTAGATATTGGATCACGGATTTTTGGGTCTGACAATCCAGACTAGTTCGGTGGTAGAGCTATCGGGCCATGGGCCATGAATCCCATGATTAACTTAAGGAGAACTACTAATTAACTCAGTTTAATGAATATTTAATCAATTAAATACGAAAATCAAAATATTCAACATGTTTTCAAGCCGAACAAAACCACATTAGAATGCGCCATTGAGCTAACCATTTTAGTTGCAAAACTAGCTTTACTCTTAGAAAAATAATAAATAAAACTATTAACATAATCATGATCAAGTAGTTACCGTTCGATTTTCACCAATCCTCTTTTTTAATAAAAAAAATAAAATAAAAAAATCCATGTTTCAAGGGCCCGTGATGTGATAGGCTTTTCATATTTCAATACTAAAAAAAACAACTCTTAATATCAATCTTATAAAAATTGGGTCGATTCCGCCGGATCACCAAAAAATCGGTGACTCAACTCGGTTTATAAAAGAAAATTAATTTATTCTCATTAATTGATGTCTTTTTTTTATTCTCACATACAAATGATTTATTTTCTTTTAAAATATTTGAGTGATGTATAGCTTATTAACTTACATAGATTATGTACTTACAACACTAATATTATCTTGGTTATGCAATATGCAGGAAATTCTGATTTGATTTATAGTTAGAGATGTCGTCTACTGAACTTGAAATACCAGGATCATAAGTATTATACGTTTCATTGAGAATTTGTTGGACAATTATATGTAATTTATTATTTTTCATATTAAAATATTTAGAATTGATATAATTTTTTTACACGTATTTAAGTATATTTATATTTTTTAATATAAAATATAGATTTATATATACTTACCGATCATGTGGTTGAACCAGTAATCCACTAATTGAACCAATGACTCAATCAATGACTCAATATCTCGACCGGTCAATAACTAGGCCGGGCTTAATAACATTGCTTAATATAGTGGGACTGTATATTAAACTCTTGTATGAATGAGTGTGTAAGAGAAATAATGTATAAAATTATTAATGTTATTTAATAGCTTGAAAATTTTAGGTTCCATTATTGTTTAATATTCACAAAAACAAAAAGTCTTCCAAAAAGTATGTATTGTTTAGGGACGTTTGGTAGAGTAGAAATTTTCTTGAACTCGGGAATCATGATTAATGAGAATATAGTTAGAATACATGTTTCCCGGTAATGTTATTAAAAAACTGTTAGGTACACGAAAATATTACCAGAAATTGTAGTTAATTTTACTGAGATGGTGTTTGGTTGATGATAAAATATTGGTGGAAATATGGTAGAGTTTTACCAAAATGACCTCATAACTTAACTATGTCTTTCAGATTTAGAAAGAAAAACACCATTGTGCGAAAATGAAAATTTCTCCTCGTTGACGAACTCTTCCACCATTCAACAAATTAAATACAGATCAACAAAAAAAAGTAATAAATTACGTTATAAAAAAAAATATGAATTTTTTTAATAAAATAAATAGGTCACCAACAACACACAGTAGCTAAACCCCCCTTCATTTTAGATTTTACAAGTTACACTTTGTATAGAAGAGGAGCAAATGAGGTGAGACGGACGATTGACTTCAACATGGTTATTGCAACTGAGAGCGTTGGGTTGGGTGAAGGATCCAAAGTAAGCTCAAAATAACCATCAACCGAGAGCACAATATACGAAACTTTTGCAAATCAGGTTCCAAAACAAAATAACCAAGATACATCACAAACACAAAAAATGGAGACAGGTCGCGGTGTCTCAGACAAGATAACTCACGTTTCGAAGAAAATGGCTTCCGATTGGGAATGAGGTCAGTACCAGTGCTTTTTTCAACAACAGGTCCTCACAAGAAGATACATTACCTTTTTTGATGAAGAAAAAGACACAGGTGTATGAAGACCAGCTGTAACACACGAAGGGTAGATTTATCCCAATAAATCAGACAAGATTTCCTCCAATCGAGTATTTCACAAATACCATCCCTTTGAAGGTAATCTGGACAAAATTTTGTTCATAACTGAAGATTCATGGAAAACTAGATACCTGGGCATTACCTACCAAATGTGGCCTTTCACAAAACCTTAGTGAACTTTTCTGGTAAAATTTCAAACATCCCTCGACCAAACAGGTCCTTAAGCCTGAGCAGAAGGAATTTTTTTTTTTTATGAAAATGACGCATACCTTATTTCCTGTATTAATTTAAATCAAACTGGAAAAAATGAGACAAATATTATGATAAAATTAACTTTAAATTATGTCATAAACATATTTTTGACATTTAGAATGCCCCCAACAATTTGTTCCACATTAAAAAAATTGAATATACGACTACAGGTTTTAAGTGCTGGGAATAAATATGAAATAGAAGAAGTCCAATAATCAATAAACCAATAGGATAATATAAAAAAATATATGTATAGAATATCCAAAGTGCAGATCGGTGGGGTGTTAGGTAAATTATGTAATTAACTGTAAACCATGACTATGTTTATATCTATCTGTAGCGACGATTGTGAATCTGTGATGCACATACAAATATGTCATTGTTTGAAGCGCCTAGTTTTGTGACGAGATCATAACGGGTTTATTTTATGAAAAATATTAATCTCATGTGATAGAAGATAATAAGTTTTTCTTACACACTTAAAAGATATGGGTATCATTTTAATTTTTTTTCTATATAATGGGACCCACATAAAATTGTGAGTGCAACAGTAGATATCATATCTCCTGTTGCATAAGAAAATATAATCTCTTATTTTATATCAAAGCTCTCCCTCCTTTTTTTTTAAATTTATTTTAAAGTACGAGAACTCTTATTTGAAGAATTGAAATTCAATGTGATGCAAAACAGGATAATAAGCCGTTATAAAATGTAACACTCTGTTTTAGAATTGGTTTATTATCATTACTTTATGATATCAAGTGCAATTACAATCACATTGGTTCAATTAAAAATCTGGATAGATTTTTCTTTTTCTTTTTAAAACTTACTTATTTTCCTTTTGAATAACTCAAATTTAAAATAAACAATCGCGTGACTATAATTATATGATATTGCAGAATAAATGAAACTTAAGCTTAATATCATACTCTTATTTTGTTCAAGTTCAATACTAATTATTAAATTGGAAATTTTATACTTTCTTTATAATTCTCATCTCCGATTTGAGCGCGGTATTAGATTGCTTGTTAATCTCAAACATGAATAAAGAGAAAAACTTATACGAATTGCATATTTTATTCCAAGATTTTAGCCTCCTTATCCAATTCCGTGTTAGCGCAAGCAAGAGACCCACATATATACTTGTCCCGCAAGTAATTGGCCATGAATTTGGCATTCGGGATTTTGGATCCACTTGCCATATTACAAGTCAACACATCTCAGAGCTTTGCTTGCAAGAAAAATATTCCTTCTTATTCAACCGTATAATTAATTTTTTAAAGTTAAAAACAATTTTTTATCTAGTAATAACATTTTGTTACAACCTGGCATGCGTTGGCACATTCACAAATGACATGTATACTTCATGATTTAAAATATATCTTTTGAATTAGAATCTTATGACTTCACCAAATTTTTTTAAAACGAACTATTCTTTATGGATTTGATATTGTAAACTAGTACAACTCTGAGCATAACCTCAAATCTTTTATTCTTTCCTTTTGCCAATAGTATAATCTTGTATTCATCGATAAAGATAAATTGCTTTCATACATCTCAAAGAATTGGAACTACAATTCATTATAAACCATGGCCCTTTCCTTCATACGTCAAAGCTTCCCTTTGACATCTGAAACTGGTCTCCGTGAGACCTATGAGGATGCATTGGCCTTGAATTATAGTCAAGGTAATGAAGGATCATCACCAAAAAAACTGAGCACATAAACATAGGTATTGGCCCAAAAAACCAAAGGAGCAAGTCAAGAGCAAAAAAGAGGGCTCGAAGACCAAGTGACCAAAAATCACCTCCCCTTATGACTGCTATTTCGACACTCCTCACTGGGATAGAACTATCTGGGGTGCCTGGGATTTTTGGGGTGCTTATGAGATAGGTTGCATGAACAAAGTGCCTGCATGCTTGAACAAAGCATGCGAAAGCAAGTAGGAAGCAAATTAATAAGCAAATGTACTTGATGGAAATGGTGGTTGCCCTTGTGTCACCATAGATTAATTGACTTTGGAAGAAAGCATTGGAACTACTGGCAATCCAAGCTCCAATAAGAGAACAAAGAGTCAAAGAGACAGCGGCTAAGGCTGTAGAAGCTTGTGTGTTGTTTTGAAGAACAGTTATAGTTGGGCCAAGTTCCTTTTTTTCAACCTGTTCATTACCAAGAAAAAAATAAATATAATAAATAACTAATTTAAAGGGTTTTTCACTTTTCAATCAAATCAAACAAAAGGAGAAGGATCAAGGATTACTTGCCGCCATAATATTTCTAGCCCAAGCCCTTTTGTCGTTGTTCTCAAATCCCATGACTGTTTTGTGAGGCAAATTGATATATCTGTAAAGGAGAAAAAGGTGATAAGTAAACATGATCAGCAACCCGCTAGGAACCAAGATCAAATCCAGGTACTCTTTACGGAACCCCATATTCTCAAACTCTTCCTTTCTTGGAGTCCCAATTGAGGGGTATAGTGGAGGATTGGGTTTTTATCAAAGCATATTCAGTTTATAAACTTTGGTCAAATAAACTTAGGTGGAATCCATGTTCATCTTTCACATTGTCATTCAATTTACTTGAAGGACCATTGACCTTTCGTAACTTGGCAACCAATTGCACAACTTGATATACTTTCCCACGCTATTTTATTCCGAACCATTGGAATTATTGGATTAGTACAGCTAAAATACTAACCAAAAGAAGAGAAAGTGGCTTTAAAAAGGGGACCAAAAAAAGATGCTTTGAGACGAAGAAACAAGTTTTGTATTCGAAGTTGTTCGAATCCTAATGGGATAAACCGTTGATATGCTGAAGGAGTGCCTGCATAATGGAGGCAATATGTAATATATAATTAAATATATTATTACAAGTTGAGTATAATATTTTATTTTATATTTGAATATTAGTTGCATTAATTCTTAGGCAATAATTTTTTGAACCATTTTTAATTCCAACATAAATAACTTTTTTTTACTTAAATAAATAATGAAATTGTAAAGAACCAATTTAACCTAAAGCCCGTTAAGATTGAAGGGTGAATAATATATAGACCCACCTACTTGTGTTATGAAATTCCACAAGATTTAATTATTTATTAATTAAATGAGACGGTACGAATTCACGAAACGAAGACTTTGATATCATGTCAAAAATCAATTCAACCAAAATGTGAAAATAATTTAAATAGTCAACACAATATCGAACAATAATATGAATAGTTGTTGGAGATACAAAAAAATAAAAAAATAAAAAATAATAATAAAGGTTAGTGTTGCGAAATCGGCAAGTATACCGTTCATTTCAAGTAATAAAATGATAAGTAAGATATCGTCCCACGAGGATTAATGCACCAATGACTAATTTTTAACTATTCCCTTTAAATTGGAAAAGAAAGAAATTCAATTTGATTGTGAAAATATTTGTTGATCGTAATTTAAAACAAAAATTTAAAAACAATAATATTCAAAAGCATTCAAGAATGTCAAGAACCTCAAGAAAATATGAGTGATAAAAATTGTAAAAGAAGATGTAGTCATGATGCACTTCACCTCCGACAATTTATTTACTCAAACAATTCATTATTTTCCTATTAAATAGTTGAACCCTAATGTCTTAGTGATTTCAACCCTTTAACTCAATTAGAATCCTAGTGTCCTAGGATTCCTCTTGAGTTAAGCATTAAACAATTGAATGTAAAAGTCTGCAATCTATGTACGCCTATGTCTAGGTCATGCACGGATTGTTATTCTACCCTTGTCCAGATTAAAACTCCAATATGTCAATTGTGAGCTCTAACCCTCAAAGAGTGATCAATTCTAAAAAGAGTATGGAAGAATTAACACAGGTAGAATAAAGCTAAATAAACTAAATTAATTATAAAAACAATTTAAGAAGTAGAAAGAATTCACACGCTACTAGCGCCAGGTTGGCGCTGATAGCGTGGAAGTGTTGTCTGGAGGCAGTAGCTTCGCACTACTAGCGTGAATCTCGCGCTGATAGCGCGATTGGCAGAAATAGCTGGCGCTGATAGCGCCAGTGCCGCGCTAGTAGCGCGGTGATCAAATCTTGTAATTCTTTGTGCTACTCAATTGAGCTTCTTTCTTGTCCTTTTTCCTGCAAAAATATAAAAAATCAGTGACAAGATATCTGATTATGATTTATCAATTTAATAGTAATTATAGCCCTTTTTATTCAAGATTAATCAAGATTCTTTCTTTTTTTGGCTTAAAATCATATCTATGTGGGAGGCATATCAATTAGCCATGCCAGAACTTTAGAATTATTAGATTTATTTGCAATGTTATTTTTTTGAATAACATATAAATATTAGTTTTGATATGTGAAGTTATAATAGCTAAGACTGCTTCAATTAAGTTTGCTTCAATTTGTTTTAATTGTTATCTGTGAATATATTTTGTGTTATTTATTTACTTGTTTAGTATGAGAAGGGGATTTTTTTTCGTTTAGACGTGGTTGGAAATTGATCTGAATCCACACCTTAGGCTCACCAGTTGGGTTCAATCTCTTAAAGTCCACATCTAGAACCTTCTAGAAGACACCCATGGGAAGCGCTCACCATTGGGATATTGAGGCTGTAGTACGTACTACGTAATTGAGGCTGTAGTACGACTCAATGTAGCCGGAGCAGCATATTTTCGATATATAGAAATTCCAAAGGTGGATACTGCAATACATGAGCTTGAAGGGAACATTGAGGAGAACATGATAACAGAAACTGTTGGACCAGAACAAATAGCTGAGGTTGTGAGCCGCTGGACTGGTATACCAGTGACGAGGCTTGGCCAGAATGAAAAGGAATGGTTGATTGGACTTGGTGACAGATTGCACAACAGAGTTGTAGGACAAGACCAAGCAGTTAATGCTGTTGCTAACGCTGTATTGAGATCAAGAGCCGGTCTAGGTAGACCTCAACAACCAACTGGTTCATTCCTGCTTTTGGGTCCAACTGGTGTTGGTAAAACTGAGCTTGCTAAGGCTCTTGCTGAACAACTCTTTGACGATGAAAATCTGTTGGTGAGAAATTGACATGTCCGAATACATGGAGCAGCACTCTGTTTCACGATTGATTGGAGCACCTCGAGGGTAAGTGGATTGCAAGTGAACTTGTGCTGATTGTTATTTATTTTGGTTGTAAGCATTATATCTCACTCCGTGTATTAAAATTTTCAGGTATGTTGGACATGGGGAAGGTGGTCAGTTAACTGAAGCTGTAAGGCGAAGGCCTTATAATGTGGTACTTTTTGATAAAGTGGAAAAAGCACATACATTTGTGTTGAATACTCTTCTCCAAGTTTTAGATGATGGAATATTAACTGACGGACAAGGCCGTACTGTGGACTTTAGAAACAGTGTCATTATTATGACCTCAAACCTCGGAGCTAAACACCTCCTAAGTGGACTTTCCGGAGAATGTACCATGCAAGTTGCTCGGGATAGCGTAATGCGGGAGGTATCTTTTCAAGGCTTATATTAATATACTATGATAAATGCTTATGTGGCTGTTCAGACTAATAATATATATTTGTATATAATTTACTTAAACAGGTAAGAAGTCATTTTAGGTCAAAATTGTTGAATCGACTTGATGAAATTGTGGTATTTGATCCTCTTTCACATGAGCAATTGAGGAAGGTTGTAGGGTTGCAAATGAAGGATGTTGCTAGTCCTCTTGCTGAGAGAGGGATTGCCATGGTAGTGACAGATGCAGCACTAGACTATATACTTGCTGAGAGCCATGATCCGGTAGGTATCATTATAACATGTTGGTTTGGTACATGATGCAGTAATATGTTAATGGCTTGTACTTAATAACCTTTTGTTGCTTGAAGGTGTATGGTGCTAGACCAATTAGGAGATGGCTTGAGAGGAAGGTGGTGACAGAACTCTATAGAATGCTTGTAAGCGAGGAAATTGATGAGAATTCAACAATGTACATAGATGCTGGGCCCGATGGGAACGAATTGGTCTACCGTGTAGAAAAGAATGGAGGGATTGTTAATCATGCAAATGTGCAGAAGTGAGATATTTTGATTCAGATTCCCAGTGGACCCAAAACTGATGCTGCACGGGCTGTCTAGAAGTAGGGGTGTCAAGACGGGTTGACACGACACAAATACATCAACACTAACACGACACGAATTTTTATTCGTGTCAAAATCTTTAACTCTGACACGACACAATTTTTTTGCGGGTTGAAACGATACGACACGAATAACACGCAAAATAAGGGTCAAAACAGTAATTGACAATTTTTTTTTAAAAAAAGTGGTTCAAAATTAAAATAATAATAAAAAATAGTAATAAAAAAATAAAATTAAAAAAAAATATGGGTCGACACGAACACGAATATCTCAACACGAACATGACACAAATTTTTCACGTGTCATTTTTTTTAACACGAACACGACACAAATTTTTTTACGGGTCAACTCGAACACGAATTTTCGGGTCGTGTCGCGGGTCGACCCATGTGTCATAACCTATATTGACACCCTATCTATCTAGAAGATGAAGATTGAGGAAATTGACGACGAAGATATGGAAGAGTGAATTTTATAATAACTGTAATTACATTTGATGCCCAGAGTGGCTCAAGTTTCAAGTTTTTTTCCTTTTTGTCTGCTATGTGAAATGTGGATTTTTTTGTGATACTGCACGACTCCCGTTTTTTCCTTTTTGGAAATTTTTTGCAAGTGATGTATATAGAAAAAGCGCTCGTGAAATGGGTGTGATTGAAGAATGAATATCCCTCGTGAAATGAGTGTGTAAGAGAAACAATGTATAAAATTATTAATGTTATTTAATAGCTTGAAGTTTTTAGGTAAGATTATTGTTTTAATATTCACAAAAAGAAAATGTCTTCCACAAAGTATGTATTCTTTATGCCCGGGGCAGAAGGAATTTTTATTTATTTATGAAAATGACGCATACCTTGTTTCCTGTATTAATTTAAATCAAACTGGGAAAAATGAGACGAATATTATGATAAAATTAACTTTAAATTAGAGAAACTTCCATCTAAAATTAACTTGGAACTTTCCTGTTTTTCAAGTTTTGTTGACAAAAAATATCTTTATCAATTTTTTTATATTTTTGGGTTAAGTGTCATGAAAAGTGGGCGGGGGGAGAAAAAAAAATTAAAAATGAAAAAGAAGAAGCAAAGAAGTGAAATAAGAGACGCAGAGCTGAACTAATTTCCTGCCTTAGAGATCTCTTGTGGAAGAGGAAGGGAGTCATGGAAAAAGCCCGAGAGCAGAGGATGTACCTGCTGATGAAGATTATCAGTATGAGTCAGAGGAAGAACATTTTGAGATGAAACCTAAAGAGAAACCACTTGGGCCACCGTTGGAGTTAGAGGTTCCACTGCGACCACCTCCAGCTCTTCCACAAAAGGTCTTCCTGTAATTTA